CATTTATGTGTTTATCAGAACAAGAGGGCAACAATAACAATGATTTGTTTATGCCAGGGTTCCTGGACATGCTGACGAGGGCTCAGAACTCCAGGGTGGATGATCAGCGAGGTCTTCTCACCAAAGAGCAGCTGGAGGTTCCTTCCTTCCTCCAGCTGCCCACAGAGCAGGTGCAGGAACCAGAGGATCCCAGTATAGCCAGCTCTTCCACTACTGACTCCAAAGCAAAATCTGAGGATAAGAATTCAGCTGAAAATTCAGCCGAAGCAGCGAAGGAAGCCCCCGACTCTGCTAAATTGAAATCCCCAGACATGAGGGAAACAACAGTTTGAAAGACAATCACGTGTTGGATGAACGAAGATGTGATCAAAAAAACTACGACGAACATTTCACAAAACTGTGATCTGATTAATTTAAGAAAATTAATGAAAGAAATAATTAGTCCTATAGCACTTTTTTCTAATTGTTCGCAGTATAAGCTCTGAGAAAGCGGTGTGCTACCACACGCTGCTCTATACTTTTGAATGACCTTCTTTTAAGCCAATTTGTAAATAAGGCAGATCATGGCAAGCATTTATGGTGTCGTTCTAAAACACTACACATCCTTATGGGGAAAATGTTTGCTATGAAATGATTAATTCAACCTTATATGAAAAAGTTATAGGTCAGAATGTCACCCTGAAACTTTAAATGTTTTAGTATACATTTTATTCATCCCCTGATTTGTAATACTGTACAGATTTTGATATATCGTTCACATTTCTTCTGTTTTTCACAGCCGTACTTCGCAGTAATGTTTTCTTTAAACTAAGCACAGGAAGGAGTGACCGTCCAAAATGGGTTTTAATGTTTTTGCACTGTTTCTTTGCTTCAACATGCATGGAATATTTGATGCAGATTTAGTATTTAATATATATTATTTTTAAATTTGTGTGTTGCATGCTTTAGGTGTTTTTGTTTGGTTTTTTTGCCTTTTTTAAATTATCCCTATGTTTGCTGTGACTGCACTTTGCAAAGCCCTGGTCATGTCCTGTATTCCTGTTCTCTACATCTCAGACTACAGATCAAGATCTAGTTCATTAAATGAATAATGTGATAATAAAAATGAAATGGTTTCAATGATTCTAACGATAATCCACAGGGTGTATTGAAAAAAATTAAAGTGTTTTATAAGAAATTGTTATCCTGTCTGTCTGCAATTTTTTTTTTTTTTTTTTTTTTTTTGGTTAAGGAAAAGGTGTCAGCTTTTAGCTCTCAGTGAGGGTTTTTTTTTTGGGGGGGGGTGATGAATCACTGAGGTCAGTTTCTGGCTTGAGGAATGCTACGTGATTGGGTTTTATATGCAGTGCAGTCAGACCCCACAACCCCTGTGGACCAACTGTGTGATTCATACAGGGCAAAGCAAGTCTTTGCACATGTAACTAGCATTGATTACATTATTCATTCCTGAGTCTTCTGGTGTATCCTGGTTAAAGGAAAGCTCTTCGAAAATGCTGTCACATAATGATGTCTTTTTTTTTTTTTTTTTTTTTTTTTTTAAAGAACCAATCACAGCACTGCAATGCTATGATTGGCTTTTTAAGTTGGTTCTGTGGCCAATGACCAGCTTAATCTGTCTGCAGACTTGTTGCTGGAAGGTGGCTTCCTG